TTGTCTCAGTCACAATTTTGGTAAGCCCACAAGCTAACCCTAGCAAAAATGAGTAAAAAAAAAAAAAAAATGTCACTGGAGAGCTTCTTTGAGAGGGGGAAAGACTCTCAGACTGCCAACAAAATGAAAGGTACATTTAAAAGAAAATACCAAGGGTCCTGCTTAAATTACGGGTTCATTGCGACAGGTGATTCACATTCTTCAAGCCCGCTTTGTGTAACATGTCGCAACCGGCTATCCAATGAAGCCATGAAAATTTCAAAACTGCTTCCCCACGTGGAGACCAAGCACCCTGCATTAAAAGACAAGCTTTTGGAGTTTTTCAAAAGAAAAAAACATGAACACGAAGAACAGAAGCAATTATTGAAGGCCACCACTTCATCAGATGTGTCTGCACCGAGGGCATCATTCTCAGCGGTTAACTGCATTGCCGAAGCTAAGAAGCCCTTTACTATTGGTGAAGAGTTGATCCTGCCTGCTGCTAAGGACATCTGCTGTGAACTTTTAGGAGAGACTGCAGTTCAAAAGGTGGCCCGTGTTCCCCTTTTGGCTAGCACCATAACTAGGCAAATTGAAGAAATAGCAGAGGATATTGAGGCACAATTGTTAGAGAGTATTAATGAGTCACTGTGGTATGCAATCCAGGTTAACTAGTCTACTAGCTGCAGAACTATTCAAGTCATTGAACGATTACACATCAGGAAAATGGAATTGGTCATTTTGTGTCAGTACGTGCATGGACAGAGCAGCTGCCATGACTGGACGGATTTCTGGTTTCACTACTTGGGTCAAGGAGGTCGCTTCTGAATGTGAGTCTACACACTGTGTCATCCACAGAGAAATGCTGGCTAGCTGAAAAATGTCACCTGAACTAAATGACATTTTGCAGGATGTGATTAAAATTACCAAACACATTAAAGTATGTGCCCTTAACTCACGTTTGTTCACGTAGCTCTGTGAAGAGATGTAGGCAGAGCACACACATCTTCTCTTACACACAAAAGTGATATGGCTTTCTAAAGGTAGATCATTGGCCAGAGTTTGTGAGTTACGAGAGCTGCCCTAGAGATTTCTTTTAGAAAAACAGTCACCATTGGCACCATATTTTCAGTGGCACAGAATGGGTCGCAAAACTTGCTTACTTGTGTGACTTATTTAACCTGCTCAGTAAACTCAATCTGTCACTTCAGGGGAGACGACAACTGTGTTCAAGTCGGCAGATAGAGTGGCTGCATTCAAACACAAACTGGAATTATAGGGGCGATGAGTGAACATTGGGATTTCTGACATGTTTCAAACATTAGCAGAAATTTTGAAAGAGACTGAGCCAGGGCCTTCTTTCTCCCAACTGGTGCATGATCACCTATCTCAGCTTTCAAAAGAGTGTGAGCATCACTTCCCAACCACAAAAGACCCCCAAACTGGGAAGGAGTGGATCTGCCACCCATTTGTGAATTAGCCTGGTGAATCGACTCTGTGATAGAAGAGGATCAACTGCTTGAGATCACGAATGACAGTGGCCTTAAAAGTATGTTTGAGACAACTTCAAATCTCCATATGTTCTGGATTAAACTCAAGGCAGAATATCCCGAGACTGCCACTGAAAAGCCTACTTTCATTTCCAGCATCCTATCTTTGTGAAGCAGGGTTTTCTGTAGTGACAGCAACCAGAATGGGATTACAGAGTAGACTGGACATAGGCAACACACTTTGGGTGTCACTGTCTCCCATCACTCCCAGATGAGACCATCTAGTTGTAGGAAAACAAGCTCAGGGCTCATTGATTCTGCATTATGGTGAGTTGTGTAATTATTTGATTTTATATTACAATGTAATAATGATAGAAATAAAGTACACAATAAATGTAATGCGCTTGAGTCATCCCAAAACAATCTGCCTACCCCGCCAACCCACCACCTGTCCATGGAAAAATTGTCTTCCATTAAACCGGTCCCTGGTATCAAAAAGTTGGGGACCACTGCTTTATTGGATATATAGCTTGTGAATATTTTCTCCCCTTCTATATGTTGTCTATGTGTTCTGTTATTTATTTCCTTGGCTGTGCAGAAGATTTTTAATTTAATCAAGTCCCATTTATTTATTTTTGTTATTGCTGTGATTGCCATTGGGTCTTCTTCATAAATTCTTTGCCTCGGCTGATATCTAGAAGAGTTTTTCCACAAAATTTTCTTCTAGAATTCTTATGTTTTTGTGCCTTTATCCATCTTGAATTAATTTCTGTGAGTGGTGAGAGATATTGATCCTGTTTCATTCTTCTGCATGTGGCTATCCAGGTTTCCCAGCACCATTTATTGAATAGGGCTTCTTTTCCCCAGTGTATATTGTCTGCTTTGTCAAAGATCAGTTGACTGCATGTGGATGGTGTTATATCCAGGTTTTCTGTTCTGTTCCATTTGTCTATGTCTCTATTTTTGCACCAATACCATGCTGACTTAGTTACTATAGCCTTGTAGTATAGTTTAAGTCTGGTAACGTGATGCCTCCTGATTTGTTCCTTTTGCTTAAGATTGCTTTGGCTACTTGGGCTCTTTTCTGATTTCACATGAAATGCAGAATTATTTTTTCTAGATCTGTGAAATATGACATTGATATTTTTGTCGGAGTTGCATTGAATCTGTAAATCATTTTGGGTGTAATGGACATTTTAACAATATTGATTCTGCCAATCCA